TAATTCTATGCAGGAGACATTCACAGGCCAGTTTCCTATATATATGCAAACATGTATACATGCATAAATATATATTTATCTATCATAGAAACATAAACTTATGCTTATAGATGTGCGAAAAGGCCTCTTTCTCAGAGATTTCCAACTTTTTTCATGATTTTAATAGAAGCAACAAGAATGAAATCAACATTAAAAATATACATCAGTTAAAGTACACATATCGAATAGATTTTGTGTTTTTGCCTTAAAGGGCAACGTGGTAAACATTACTCTTTTTTTTGTGTTTCATAAGTGGGGTTAAAGTGACGACATTAGAAAAGCAATACCTTGAGTGCAGTCAACACACGAAACAATATACATGTTGTTTATATGACGGAGGGCTTATAATCGAACACATACCACACGCAGCTATGTAAATTTAAAAAGCATAAATGCATACATTAATGTATAGCAACAGCCGACCAGCTTCAGGGCAAGTGCGGAAAAAGAGTCCATAAAAGAGGGTCGCTATAGTTTAATTTTGTTTGTATGTACGTAAATATGTGATGCGTTGTATATAGCTACTTAGCGCGTTTTTGTAAACACGTAGGTATGCAAAATGAAATAGTTATTGAAAAAATGCACTTAAAGACAACTACCGCACACGACATCTAATTGATCACTGCATCACATCACGGGCAACGAATGAGATTTGAATCGAGGAAAACATATATAAAGAACGACAAGTACGCGTTAGCGCAATAATAACAATCAGGGCTGCCATTTAGAAGGAAATAAATTACTCTTAACATTAATGTTATGTAGAGAATATGTTACATCTGTTAAGATGTTGATTACTGGCAGATTCCTGGATTGGAAATATTGTAAAAATCGTTTTGCAAGTGTCTTCAATATCACGCTTGCCTTCTTTCTTAACTCGTTAAACTGAAATGCATTAAAATAGTTCGTGCCTATGTTTGTCAAAACTCTTCGACTTCTCTTTTGCTCTCTCTCTCTCTCTCATCCTCTCATCCTCTCTTGCCCCATTACATCGGTAATATTAAAATTGTATTTGAGTATTTTAATGAATTGTACTAAAATGGCTAAGTGACGTGTGTATAGGAGACGTTTTAGTTTAATTATTATTGTTATTATCGTTGTGTTAAAAAAAAAAATCATCGAAATGATTCTTTTTTCTGAGCAAATATTTTTCGTAAGACTAAAAATCAAACAAGACACTTACAACGGTATTAAATGACAATTCACCCGAAATCAGCTGTTTTTTGTTTAGCTTATTCCTTACATTTTTTTATATAGAATTTTGAAAATTATTGATTTTTATCGTTGCGTCGGAAGTTCGTTCCTTTTTACAAACGCAACTCCTTCTTACACTTGCTGTTTTTTATATTACATTTAGTTTTGTGAAATCACGCTTCAGGAAGAAAAATGCAGACAGACCTCATTGAATTTGTTGCTCATCAGCTTATGCTATTATTATAATGATTTTCTCTCACTCTCATCAATTCACTCTCATTATAAGTTCACTCAATTTTTAGCTCAAACCAAGGGCTGTTTTGCAAGTCATGCGCAAAGCATGAGTTTCAATTTCAATTTGTTTCTTTATGTTAACAGTCGTTTCAGCAACAATAACATGTAATAAAATGCAACGTTTCGATTCTGTTAAAGTGAGAAATCGTGGCCCCGTTGTTGTTGTTTGTACCACTAGGGTTGATTAGGGATGAGGGACAAGTTTAAGGCACTTGTCACGCAACTTTTATCACTGTGTAACGATGGTGTAACCATTATCCCCTATATCACTTATGGTAGAGGGTTATATTAAGCTTGTGCGGTCGTATGTAACATGCAGAAGAGCTTACAGTGGACCTTACTTTTGTTAAACTTGTATCCGCCTGTTGTTTGTTCATGTTCAACGTACAAGTCGGAATTTTTAAGATATTTCGATTAAATTTGATACTCTGACACGTTTCGCTGCAAGGATGAAATCGACTGATAATGGGATGGATCGCGCGATTTCTTCGACCACTTCCTTCATAACGCCTCATTTGTATAAGTCATCATATGAAAAAAAACTGTAATTTTTGACATTAGAATAGTATTTCCGCAATCCGATATTTTGATCGCCTTGCCATATAAATGTTTCTGCCGAGATTGAATCATGATATAGTAAAGAGGTTCAAACTTCAATAAAATCTAACCCTATTTAATTTGAGCCACGTGAATGTATCTTCTCGATGCCATCCTTTTATATGCTGTAATGGTAAAATTTATAATATTTTATGGTAAAAATTGGACCTTAGGCAAATTTAGATTACATTAGTTGACATTTCCAGCATTCTCGAATATGAAGTCTATCATGAAAATAATATATAATTTTTGGTGTATTGTTAAGAGAGCGGGTGAATCAACGTATCACATGAAGTGACGGTGTAGGGTATCTAAGAGCCTAAGCCAGCCTTGCCCGACCATAGCATTCTCCGTTGGCCTAGTGTAAAAAAAATAAATAACATAAAAACCGAAGAAAGAACACACATTTACTCATCGATTTCATTGCTGTTGACTTTCATTGCTTCCCAGAGCGATCAGATCTATACAATAATTTCAATGGAATGCGATAATTAATAATAAGATTCAAAATGATTCAATTTCCTTAAAATTTTTAATGCTGAAGGATTTTCATAAGAAGTTAAAGTTCTAAGATTCGATAATAATAATAATAATAATAAGATTCGACTTGTTGTTGTTCTGCAATGGTCAATATTTTAAGAAATATATAAGAAAATGCCTACGAATTACTTTGATTAATAAATTTCATTGAATAAATCAACAACCCTTGCTACACACGTTGCCTGAAAAAATTCGATGGCTTCTAGGTGATCAGAAAAACCTGATCCCTTTGGTGATAAATGAACTTGTTGTAAAATGAATGAATGAGTTTTGAAGATCTTTCCCATAATCAAAAAGCGATTTAATTGCCAACAATTACGCAATTTTGTCACGCAGATTTCCGAGGCAACTTCACGATTAGAACAACAAATTTTGATCTACATCTATATGGTAAATTAGCGTAAGTCACAGACAAGCTCTTAAATACATTTAGATATATCGAAGCTATTCTTAGTGTGGAATAATTTAAATTCCGTTTATCATTAATACTTTATACACTCGTAAAGGAGCTCTGAAGACTCTCAAAAACTAACTACGTCAAAACAAAAAGTAAAACAGTGAAGTGTTGTGTATCAACTCCTTCCAAGACTTTCCCGTGGACTTTGGATTTCGAAGAAATTGTTCAACTATTGAAAAACTAAAATACTGTATCGTCTTCTCGCGAAACAGACTTACCACCAAGCTTACCTTCTTACATGTTCTCATGTAAACACAATATAGTCGATCATGACCCTAAATATTCTACCCTCTACGTCACTTCTTACAGCAATTCGTATAATTAGTTCTCAAAATAGGGTACGGGAAGCAGTATTCGGCACAACAAAAGTTAAAATTTCGATATGAAACGTTTCCACAAAAATATAGCTCAGGCCATTACGAGCGAAGCAATTTTTTTTGCCTTTCTATTTATATTCACCTTGGGAGTGCATTCTTGAAATTATGGAAAGGAATATATAAACAAACCTAACCACAATCATATAAGCAATTAGCAGGTGCCACATGCTGTGAAGAATTCCTCTATTCATGCGTACTCGGATTACTACTAAACATTGAATATATTTAAATAGGTTAAATCCCAAATTTCGTTAATATAGCCTGGCAATACAGCGACTTGCCCATCAACCTAACTCAAGAAATGATAATGAAGGACATTATATTCGGGCAAGGCCGCAATTATATACCCTACACCACTTTGCCTAATACAATTATTCACTCGTTTTGATAATAGTACTCCAAAAATGGCAAAGGCTTTCTCATGAAAGCCCGCATATTGAAGGATGCCTGAAACATGACGACGTGGCCCAAATTTAACGAACTTAATTTATTTCGTAAACGTTTTATTATTTACAACTTGATTTCCATATTACATACATTACTTCGTGTATTTCCCCGGTGACCTGGGTCTCTTCCTTGGAGAGTCTTCGAATATATCACGGGAGGACATCGTCTGCCTGCAGACTTCCTCACCAATGTAGTCAGCTACTCAGCAGGTCGAGTACACAACCAGTAGTTAAGGTAGTTAAGGTAGGTTGTAGTTAAGCAACCGATAGTGTTGTGCGATGGGTGCCTGGCGAGAGCTGGGTAGATTACTTCTTCTAGTACAATAAATCTAAGAGGGAGAGTAGTAGGTGTGTCTCCCCCGGAAGCAGGGAAAATCCAAAATGCAAGTATCAAATTATGAACATAATGAGACGTGCATACCGATAATTCTAAAGTATGCTAAGAACTATGGAATCCACGAAGATCGGGTTGCCCGCTCACAAAGTCACGAGTAACCTGCTTAGGCGGTTGATTGAACTGTGATTGGTACTGGGCAAGATCTTCCGGGAGGATGGTTGCACACGCACCATGTGAAAATCTCGGTGGAAGGTGGTATGCCTTCACTCATGCACGTTAACCAATGTATGAGGCCTGACAGCTGGGTGCAATCCTTCGGGAAGTGCTCGTGTTGACTGTGGCTATCCTCAAATGCGGGGGCATTAAATAATTAGAATTGTTTGGTATGCATCGCCCTGTCCAAAGAGAAAGGTTTGGATCATAGCTAGACTGTCATTCTGGTACGTAGTGCTTGGAATAGGCCCTCTCTCCTGCAGGGTGAGACGTGCCCAATTCAACTATAATTTATAACTGCCAATGGTTGCAGGGAACTCGTCTTATTATGGCTTCACGCCAGATGCACAGGTTAAACATATATATATACATATATACATATATATATATATATTCTGCGTGTGCGTTTGACTAGTATACTCGCCACTCGAAAGAGTTGATCCGTTAAATGTTTACAATAAATATTTTTATATTGTGTTGTTTTTGTCTTTTCTGTTTCCTTTCAGCGCGAGCGCAAGCAACGCAAACTCTATTTGGAAGAATGGGCGTTAGGTGATGATGATTTGGAAGGTACGCGAGGTTTTAGTGTTGCCGAGAAACTTAAATCATCGAAATTTGCCCAAACCGGGATGGTCCGCGAAATGAATGGCTCCGACTTAACCGTAGCGTAAGTTTTCAATTCAATTTTCAAAACAATAATAATTAATAATTTCAATAACTGAATTATGGTAATTAATCGGAGACCATAGCAAAATTTTTGATTTATATTATGTAATTTATATGTTTGATCTACGGTTAATTTGTTTGTTTTTTTTTCTTTTCGTTTTGCGTTCGTTTTTTGATGGATTGGTTTGCTTTCAGGTTCTTGCAACAATATGGTTTCAATATACCGCTATTGTTTCGCGAGAAGACGGGCTTGGGTATACGAATGCCGGATCCGAATGAGTTTACAGTGAATGATGTACGTTTATGTGTCGGGTCGCGGCGTATACTGGACGTAATGGATGTGAATACGCAAAAGAACCTGCAAATGACGATGAAAGAATGGCAACAGTATTATGATAGTCCGCAAAAGGATCGTTTACTTAACGTAATCTCATTAGAATTCTCTCATACACGTTTGGATACATATATACAAAGTCCCGATATTGTAAGACAAATTGATTGGGTCGATGTTGTTTGGCCGAAACGTTTGAAGGATGCTCAAAAAGAAGGCACAAACATTTTGGGTAACATGATGTACCCAAAAGTGCAAAAATATTGTTTAATGTCGGTAAAGAATTGCTACACCGATTTTCATATCGATTTCGGTGGTACTTCAGTTTGGTATCATATACTCAAAGGTAGCAAAGTTTTTTGGCTTATACCGCCTACCGAGAAAAATTTGCAACTCTATGAGAAATGGGTGCTCTCTGGTAAACAATCGGATATATTTTTTGGTGATACAGTGGAGAAGTGTGCACGAGTGTATCTGACGGCGGGGAATACGTTCTTTATACCAACCGGTTGGATTCATGCTGTTTATACACCGACAGATTCCCTAGTATTTGGCGGTAATTTTTTGCATTCCTTCGGCATTGTTAAACAATTGAAAACCGCTCTAGTTGAGGACGCAACTAAGGTGCCGCAAAAATTTCGTTATCCCTTCTTTACCGAAATGTTATGGTACGTTTTAGCCCGCTACGTTTACGTTTTGCTCGGTCATTCGCATTTGGATAGCGAAACTTCGCTAAATGAAAATGAGATATGTTCACGCCCGCACATACACTTAACTCATTATGAGTTGTTCGGTTTAAAAGAAATTGTTATGTATTTGTACGATTTACCCCCGCATAAAAAATGTGTTCCCGAATTAGTTCGAGATCCGGTGGCATTAATAAAAGACGTGCGCACATTAGTCGAACGCCATTGTAAAGATAAGCCCGAGTTGGCGATAACGGGAGAATCAGTTTTAAAGCCGCCTGGCGAAATGCATCCGCAATTTCAGTTATACGATCGGGTGCGGGTGAAACAAGAAATCAAACAGGAAATCGCTCGGAAAAATGCAGAGATTATAAGAGAGCAGCAGCAATTGGAAGCTGCGCAAGCCGCTGCAGCAGCCGTATCTACTACGAATTCTAGTCCGAACTCGGTGATCCGCGAAACTAGTACAGTGACGACTAATGAGAATGGAATAATAAGTGCTATCAAAAAGGAGCCAACTCAAAATGGAACACCCCCCCAAACAGGTTCGACTTCTTCCAAATAGTTGAAAGGGATGTTGATTTTAATTTTTTCAATTTCAGAACCGGTTACGTTTGTCTCACCGCCTGACAGTATGAAATATCGTCCCCCCAAAAAAATGCATTTAGCTAATGCTGTAGCCGCTGCTGCAAACAGCAACAATACGGTTAGTGTAATAGCTTCTTGCTCTTCGAATAATACGTCGGCACAATCAAATCAAAACTTGTCACCAATACAAACACAAACACAAACTTCAGGCGGCAATGTAAACCCAGCGATAGATAATTGTCATTCCCCGATTGAGTCATCCAAACTATCGCCAAATGTTACTGGATTAGGGCAGCCGCGTAGGCGCCGCACACGATGCAAAAATTGTGCGGCTTGTCAACGTTCGGATTGTGGTGAGTGCAGTTTTTGCTTGGATATGGTTAAATTTGGCGGACCAGGACGAGCTAAACAGACATGCATGATGCGTCAATGTTTATCGCCAATGTTGCCGGTGACGGCTCAGTGCGTTTTCTGTCATTTGGATGGATGGCGTCAAACTCCCGTTTCACCTCAAACGAAACAATTGGCCTCATTGGATGGACCGTCATCTCTAATGGAATGTTCGGTATGCTATGAAATTGCCCATCCAGACTGCGCTTTGTCGGCCTTGGATGGTACTGAAGATGCTGCCGAAGCTAAAGGAATTGTCAATGAAGATTTACCTAACAGTTGGGAGTGTCCGAGCTGTTGTCGCTCCGGAAAGAATAATGATTATAAAGTATGTACGAAGAGTAAAAAAAAAAAACTTAATTTCACCATTTTTTTTATTTATTACTTTTTTCCAGCCAAGACATTTTCGCGCCCGTCAGAAATCATCAGAAGTAAGGCGTACTTCCGTAGGCGGAGCCAACATTACCACGGGTGAACATTCGGACTCGCATCTACATGCAAATGTTAGCCAGTACAACGATTTCGTTTTTACCAGTGAATCAGAAATGGAAGCAAGTGGCGCAAATGTCACTAATTGGAAGCACAACTTAAAACGACACTTGCCAGTTGAAGTGAAAACCGAACGCAGCTACGATACACCGTCGCCGGGTAATTTACCCACAGTAACAGAAAAAACAAAGCGACGAAAAAGCGATGACGGTCTTAGTATGTGCAGCAGTATGCAAGATAGCATAGATGCAAGTGCATCGGTCGATTGTACTACCGGTGGTAGCTGTGGACAAGTAGGTCGTAAGAAAAATTCGATACGGTCGCAATTGGCTCAACAAATGCTTAATTCATCGACGCGTGTGCTCAAAAAACCGCAATATGTGGTAAGACCGTCAGCTCATATGGGATACAATGGCAATGGTACCACGCATGCCACTACCAATTTAGCTTTGGATCCAACTTTATTGAAAATTATATTTCGCTACCTGCCTCAAGAAACTTTGGTGGCTTGTTGCTCTGTGTGCAAAGTGTGGTCAAACGTGTCCGTAGATCCTGATTTATGGAAAACTATGAATTGCTCAGAAATGAAGTTGTCAGCTTCCCTGCTGACTGCGATTGTAAGAAGACAACCGGAACATCTTATTCTAGATTGGACTCAGATTGCTAAGCGTCAATTGGCCTGGGTAATTGCCCGTTTACCGGCTTTGAAGAATCTCTCATTGCAAAACTGCCCAATACAAGCGGTACTTGCTTTACACACCTGCCTATGTCCGCCGTTACAAATATTAGATATGAGTTTCGTTCGCGGTCTGAACGATGCAGCTATACGTGATGTACTTTCACCACCAAAAGATTCACGACCCGGTTTAACCGACTCAAAGACCCGTTTACGTGATTTAAAGACATTGAAAATAGCCGGCACCGATATATCGGATGTGGCATTGCGTTATGTAACGCAATTTCTGCCACATCTAATACACTTGGACGTGTCATCTTGTCAGCGTATCACTGATGCCGGTGTAGCACAAATTGGAACGTCGTCAACTGCCATTGCCAATCTAGTTGAATTAAATTTGAGTGCATGCCGTTTAGTGTCCGAATTATCGCTGGAGCACTTGGCCAAATGTGAGCAACTTATATGGCTTGACTTACGGCATGTACCGCAAGTCTCAACGCAGGCCGTTATTAAATTTGCGGCTAAATCAAAACACGATCTATGTGTTAAGGACATTAAATTGGTGGAAAAAAGACGTTTACCGCAATCAAACTCACCGGGAGCTAGCATCAGTTTATCGTCATCATCGGCAACGCATTGTTCAGCAGCTGGCTCAGTTAATAACTGGAACGATTAAATCAAAACAAATTACGAGTTGTTATTGAACGAAATAAGCCGTAGTAGACAAATTAAAAAAAAAAAAAAGCATTTATTGTGAAAAAAAGGGGTCCGTTTCTTGTTTAGAAATAACCAAAGATCTTTTAAATTTAAAGAAATTCTAAACTTTATTGTGACATATAATTAATTAATTCAAAATTTAATTATGATATTATACAAGCATTCCCAACGCGATCTATTTTACAAAATCTAATGAAATGAATAATAAAAAAAACACACACACACATTTACATTTACTTGCGTAGGTAGTTTTAACTTAGCGATAATTAATTTTAACTGTCTTCGTGTACTCAAGCACTTTCCTTTCTTCCTTCCATACTTAAGTCTCTTCCTATGACAAATTAAATTAAAAATTTTCTTCAATTATAATATATTATACAATATACCATTAAGCATTCATTTTAATATATTGTACATACAAGCATATATAATAATAGAAATTATAAATAATAATGCAAAAATTTCGCATTGCTTCATTCGCAATAATAATTAGATACAAACAAGCATATATATATATATATATATATATTGATGCTGCTAAGTAATACACAAACAAAAAAAAAAATTAATAATATTACTAATAATAATGTATCGACCTTTTATTTAAATCTGCAATAAAATTCCAATTGAAAAATGATATATTTTTCAATTCAGGGCAAGTGAAACTGAAATAGTATTAGAATAGTTTTGAATGTATGCCCACGTGGTACAAAATTCGTTGTACCGGGGTGAAACAGTCCTTGATCCATTTTTGCACATCTTTGGAGACCTGGTAATGTGCTCTGAACTAAGGCTAATCCTAGATTGCCTATACTGTAGACGTACGGATGGACGTAAGCAAATTTTTCATCGTTTTCATGTGTAACATTTTTTCCGGAAAATACCAGCAAAACAGTTTATAACTCCCTCTTAGGTTACCTAGCAACTTAACTTAATTATATCCCTAGCTTCGGCTGCAATTTTTTCCAAGTGAAGTCTATTAAAAATGCGATCTGTATACACTGAGCGATTGCTTGTAAACAACCGAGATTTACGTCGTTTAAACATCAATATCAATTGCAGTGAACTGTGTAACAAAAATAAAAAAACTATTGTAGTGCGATCGCATACCGTCATATGCATCCACTTTGAAGTGGAAGCAAACAGAAAAACAAAAAAAAAAAAAATTTTGCCGCACTTCGACTGGCTGAGTATCGCATTACGAAATGCTTACATGTTAGGGACCGTCTCTTGCCGAGACTTATTGGCATTATGAGAGACGGACAGACTTGGCGCTTATGAAGCCGAGCAGAATATGAAGACAACGTACTCCTCGTCCTAATTAATAATACTACAACTACAACTTTCCATTACTGCAACTCTCTGTTGCAGTAAACCTTTTAATTTCTTTACACTATCTATAGTTGAAATTTCGGGAAGATTGTATGTGATCGAAGGAGTTTACTACACCTATCCAATTGTAGTAGATGATCGAACAAAAAGAGAAAAAGTAACAAATTTTTAATCCACTATTGGTCCTGCCTTTCCTGTCAATGAACTTTTACTCTTAATAAGTAAAATTAGAAAGTATTACGTTTTTCTCGTAGAGAAACGTAACACACCAGGCACATTGTTTAATACCCTTTGAAGAAAATAGCGTTAAACATGTTCTTCACAAAATTGTTAAACTTTATTCGTGACCACACAATCGAACTGTGCAGCTAAATTTCCGAACAAAACTGAACTTCACTTCAACTGAAAGAATTTAGAACTACTTTTACTATTGACTAGGCTATCCATTTGCAAAAAAAATAGAAATTAGAAAAAAACAAGACAAGATTTTCCAAATCTTAAAACTAAAAAGTGTCCACCAGAAGAAATTAGAAAAAAACAAGACAAGATTTTCCAAATCAATTAGA